CAGATTATAGATATTGGCATATAGTTAGTCAAAGTGAAAATGTTAAACAATAACTGCTACTTTTAAAAAATACTGTTTACAGACAGAGAACCTTCTTGGTCTAAGCAAATCTCCAACAGAGTAAAAAGAAAACCCACAAACTGAGAAAAAATTATACCCAACTGTCCCTTTGACAAAGGCCTTGTATATAGAACATATAAAGAGTTTTTAAAAATCAGGCTAGCCAGATTCAAAGACCCAATCCAAAAATGGGCATTTGAGATGAATATGCGCTCCTTAGATGAAGAAATACAAATGGAAAGCAATTATATCAGAAAATGTTCAACATCATTGGTCATTCAACAAATGCAAGTTAAAATAGCACTGAGATTCTATCTCACCCCAGTAAGAATTGCTAACGTCGTCAAGTCAGCCAGTAAGAAATGGTGGAGAAACTGTGGAGAAAATAAGTTGTCTGCATTGTTGATGGGAGTTCAGACTGGCACAACCACTATGGAAATCAGTGTGAAGATTTACAAAGAGCTAGGATTAGAGATCTCACTCAAGCCAGCCATTCCTATGCTGGGTATTTTTCCAGAAGAACTGAAAACTTCATACCACAGCAACATATATGCACCCATGTTTATAGCAGTGCAACTTGTCATAGATAAATGGTGGAAACAAAACAGATGCCCATCCACTGAACAATGGATAAAGAAGATGCGGTATGGTTACACAATAGAGTATTGTTCAGCTATAAAACTAGATAAACTTGAGTCTTTCTTAATAAATGGATGCAACTAGAGAGCATACTCATAAATAAAATAAATCAGTCCTGCATGTGCAAACATCATGCTGTCTCCTTAGTGTGAGAACTTGAATGAGAAAAATGGAATCTGAAGGGTACAGTAGATAATGGAAAAGGGCATGAACTTATTCAAAAGGAGTTACTGAATTGAGTGGACAGACAGGAAACAGAGTGGGGAAAGAGATTTATCTATGTATGTAAGCAGGATTTTTTGGACAAGTGCACTGCACATTACAGCTGGTCTATGAAAAAAAGCAGTTAATACTTTAATTTGTTTCATCTCCTTTTTTCAATTGTTTGTGCCTTTTCTCTTCTTAATTTCTTATACATTTCTTTCTTCTTTTTTTTCTTCCAATTTTAAATGCATATATCATGTAAATTGTGTAACTGGTTGGAAGACAACACTATGTATTACAAGAAATACTATGAAATTCATTTTACTTTGTTAAGTGAAATTCTGTATCACTTGTTCTTTTTTAATTGTAATTTGTATTCTCTTTTAAAAGTAAAAAAAAATTTAAAAAAATTAATAGGTATGTGGGTGCAACTAGAGGCTACATAAATAATTGAAATAAATCAGACCCACATTTGTAAACATCATGGGGTTTCCCTAGTGTAAGAACCTGACAGAATAAATAAAATCTGAAATTAATCATGGATATAGTAAAATGGAAAGATACTGAACATAAGGAATGCACTAAGATGAAGGAACAGAGAACAGATAGGAAAAAAAATGGGGCAAGCCTCATTCCTGTACATATTCAGGACTCATTCTTATTTAAAGTGTTTTCAAGGTACACCTCTGTATTCTGCAATAGAAACCCTGCACACTCTCAGCTAATGATGTTTTCAGTGTTTGGAGGTTCGAACTTTTCTCCTGGTCTAACAAAGTTTTATGGTATGGGCACTGTCATAACCTGTGTCTTGAGTCTCTATAGACCTTGTGATCAACTCCAGGAAATCCAGAAGTAGAGAACTTAATATAAATTCTCCTCCAATTACAAATGCTTGCCCGTTTTCATCTACACTATACTGCTTGTATTTCATGTACTCTATATTATTTGTATTTTGTAGGTGGTGTTTGTTTCTGATATACAATGATTACTTTCATCTTGGGGAATCAGTACATATACATATCACACCTTAACCAATTTTAACATCTCTTCCTGATTCTTTCCCTCTACTTAATTCTTCAGATCTTATTCCCATCACTTTTGTTACATTTATGATTTCCAAATGGAGCAGGGTGGATGTCTCTAACCGAAAAGATTTACAGTACTATTCTTCTGGAGAACATGACAAAATTAGAGTCAAGATACACACCATTAGAAAGCCAAAGCAGCAATAGCAGCAGCAGCAACAACAACAATAGTAAAGTTGAGTAGTACTGCCATTCTTCTGGAAAATTTCTTATTTTTTCTTCTTTTATATTTTTATTCATTTTAATGAGAAAAAAGATAAAATAGCAATAAAACAGTTTCAAAACAGGTTAGTAGGGCAGTTACAATAATTAATACCTTGTATATAGTTGTCTTCACAGTAGTTATTCAGAAGACAAGATGCAGACATTTTTTTCTAAACAATATTAGTAAAAAACTTTTTCTCAATGAAGTAAGAGAAAGTAGCTCTATACCTAGCATAACTATCTAATGGATACATTTTTTTGTTTTTTTTTCTCCATATTTTATTTTATTTTTTGTCTTTCATTCATTTTATGATAATTAATACATTGCATATTGTTGTCTTCATAGCAGTTATTCAGAGGAAATGTGCATTTGATATGCATTAATGTAGACAACACATCATGTGTAAACAATATTAGTACAAAGCGTTCTTCTCATTGAATGAAGGGAAAGTAGCTGTATATCTATCCTAACTACTATCCATAGTTGTTGGAAAATAGCAGTTCCATGCTATATCTAAGGCATTTGATATTCAGGCAGATAGTGATGTTAAGCTCAATTGTCTCTGTTAAAGGTTAGCAACATCATTAATTTTCTCTTTTGGATGTTGAACAACTAAGTTTTTCAGACTGAAAATCAGGGAAATAGAGGAGCTATAAGGATAGCCAATATTTTGACCCTATCCCTTCATGATCAGTGAGGATTCAGGACATAGGAGAACCTATGCTGTGACATCCTGTAACTCAGTGGTGTTCCAAATTTTCTGATCAAAGAGAATATGGAGCCACAGAGGAAAGGGTTCCGTGATGTACAATGTGCCTAAGGAGAGTCACCTAGAGATAAAAATAATTCTCTCAGGCTTTCACAGAGAGCAAATTGGTCAAGCAAAGGTTGTGAGTCATCCAGATGGCTGACACTGACAAAGGATTTTCAAGGTTCTGTACATGGTTTCAGGCTAAATCCTGAGGGGATTCGACTGACCTTGTCAGTTGCAAAAGTTACATTTTTAGTTATATAGGTCTTGCTTTAACTTGGTCTTAACCATCCAACAGAAAAGTGTAAACACGAGGTATAAAAGTAATGCCATATTAATATGCGGAGCTGTAAAAGGCTTAAGTCAACAGCTTCTGATAAATACCAGTTCTACTGATATCCCACTTCTATTATGAAGTATTGGACTATATTGAGTTATTTTGCTGAATTCAAGTACCTACCATCTTTAGACTGTCTTCAAATATTAAAAGGTCCTTTAAAGACTTCTCTAAATACTAGTACTTTAATAGCAAAGGAACTTCTATCTATAACAAAGCAAAACAAAAAAGGGGGATATAATAAATGACTGTTGTCTTCTGGAAAGTTCTTTTGTTCAATATCATTCCTTGTGCTTGTTGCCCCACATGTGAGAGTCATCCTGCATGGATACATTTTGCTAGCCACACATATTCTCAACACTTCTTCCAGATAGCTATTCTGACTGCTATTAGTGAGATGCATGCACAAAGAATGAAAGAGCCATCTCTGCTGTGAGGTCACAGCTCAGTAGAATTTCACAAATGGAACCCAATTCTCTTTGTAACAGACAAAGAGACATGTGCTATATGGTCATTTGTCCATATTACCCATCTGTCTCCTCTAGATAACTCTCCCTGATGTTGTAGTTTTCTTGCATATATGTAGGAGTGAAGAAATAGAATAAATGCTCTGACATCTGAGCTATTACATCCCTAATGTCTGCTTAATACTTTATATAAAGGAATATAAGTGAAAATGTCCACATTTGTTGGTTATATGCACTTCATGAGAGTTTTAGATGGCTCATCATAATTATTCAATATTATTCATGCTGCTCATTGGAAATGCTGTTTTATTCTATAGCGTGAAATTGAATTAATTGGATTATTACACTGTTAGTAGGCACATGGATGATTTTGAGATTTGGGCAATTGTGAGTCACTCAATCCTATTATATAGAATGTATGATTTGCCTAGTGATGCATTTGTGGTTATTAGTTGTGTAAATTTATGAAAATGAAATTATTACAATGTAAGGTGACATATTATCAACTTCTATCGATTCTACTGAACAGTTTCACCGAATACCTGTACATATTTATAGAAAAACATTAATTGTTTTCCATAATCTTATTTTGTTATTTCCTGTCATTCAGTTTCATAGTATTTTTCTGATTAATGAACACATATAATAATTTAAGTATGCACACTGCCATCTGAATAACTTCATTTTCTGAAAGTGAGATGAAATATTTTCCAGGTTTTCATTTGTCATAAGAATTCCTTAAGATGAATACTGTGCTTCTATTGGTCTTTTCTCTTTTCCATGTCCTTATTCTTTGGTCTCTGTCATCTACACATTGCATATGTTTGAATTTTGATGAAAACTCCTTCTTAATTTTAACATGATCTAATTTGTGATTTCATCCATATCTTTAAAACATTTTGTAAGAAATAATCTCAAGTCCTTAGAAGTTCTTTGTACTAAAATGTTTTATATTTATGTTAAATATTTACGCCAGAAATTTGTTCACAATTAATCTATGGTATATAGGATTTTGATAATTGAAGATTTTTTGTAGTGTGAGCAAGAAAAAAATTAAGTGTTACTGAAAATGTTACAATTTAATTCTTTCCATATTATCATCTTTCCTTTCAGGTTATCAATGACTCCTGCTTAGTGATGGCTTAACCCATGAAATATGAAGAAAATTCTCTCCATCTCCTCGTACTTCTTGAAATCTTTCCAGTACCACAAGAGCATTAGCCAAAGTGAATTTTCATGTCAAATATCAAACATGAGCCTTGCTCAAGGAAATAATTGCCAACATAGTTTAAAAGAAATTTTAGAAGGAAATGAAAAAATAGCTTCATGGGACTTGGCAATAGGAACAATATTTTTGTTACAAACTGTGGTTGGAATTATGGGAAATTTTTCTCTACTTTGCCATTATTTTTTCCGTCAGCATACAGAAAGAAGATTGAGGTCCATAGATGTGATTCTCTTGAACCAGTTTTTAGCTAATTCTTTAGTAATTCTTTCAAAGGGACCATCCCAGACAATGGTAGCCTTTGGGTTGAAAGATTTATTCAATGAATTTAGTTGCAATCTTAACTTGTATGCTATCAGAGTGGGCAGGGCTATGGCAATTTGTACCATGTGCCTTTTGAGCGTCTTCCAGACTATCATAATCAGCCCCATGAACTCTTGTTGGAAGAATCTTAAAAGAAAAGCTACAAAATATATTGGCTTCTCCATGTCCCTCTGCTGGCTGCTGCGCATGGGGGTAAATTTCATTTTTCCTCTGCATATGTTACTGGTGTCTGGAAGTTCAGAACTCCAAAACATCACAAGGAAGAGACATACAGCATTCTGCACAGTTGCAGATTATGAGCCAACCCTGGTCTCAGTCTATGTTGCTTTAGTAGCATCCCCTGAGATTGGGTTCATTTTGCTTACAGTGTGGACAAGTGGCTCTATGATTTTTGTCCTCTACAGACATAAACAGCAGGTTAAGAACATTCATAGCACTAATATGTCTTTCAGATCTCATGAGTCAAAAGCCACCAAAAGCATCCTTTTCCTGGTTAGCAACTTTGTATCATTTTACATCATCTCCTCCATCTTTTACATTTTTGCTGCCCTATTTTATAATCTCAGTTGGTGGTTGGTGAATATTTTTGGCTTTATTTCTTTGTTTTTCCCTACTATCAGCCCCTTTCTGGTCACAAGTCAGGATTCCTCTCTATCTATGTTCTGGTTTGCCTGGATAAGAAACACAAAAATTTCTCCAATTAAAGGAAATATGTAATTGTATGTTGTTATTATTTTTTTGTTTTTCCTCATTTAACTATGAGAAGGAATACAGAAGTGCAAGAGACACATATCTTAAGAGAACTAATAAGCATTTCACCTGGTTGAATGTGGGGTGCTGATGGGAATAATGAGGGTAAATAAAGAAGATTTACCCGGTTTTGGCACACATTTTGGGTCTACATCTAATCTATCTGAATAGAGTGTTTCTTGAGGTAAATTAAATGTATTTACTTCTAACTGTTTGGTTGACTGATTAAAATATTTAATTAGTTTCTTTTTCAAGGAACCATGCTAGTGAGTTGTAATGAAGAAAAGACAAGCAGACAGAGGTTTGACAAGCACTTTCTATGGGTTTCCTTTGTCTTTTTGGCAGATCTATGTGCTGATATTTTTCAGTTCTCTTTCCTTGGTTGTTTAAGGCAAAAAGAAACTTGGGTGCAATGAAGTTTTAATGTCTAGTGTGCATAACAGATTTGCATACTATAGAGACAGATGATACAGTCTACAGAACACCAAACACAGAGAACATGATTTTGGGGATCTGTTTTTAGTCTTTCTTGCTGGCAAGAACTTCAACACTTTGTGTGCTACAGCGAGTGATAATCTCAGGATACGGAAAATTGAAATGCTTAAAGGAGACAGTGTACAAATATGTCCTCCAATGCAAAGGAACATGCAGACATCACATGAACCAGATTTGGGGAGAAAGCATTAGGTATGTTGTTGCTTTAAATTTCTGTGACCAAATGTCTAATGCTGAGTAGTTTACAGAGGAAAATGTTTGTTTGTGTCACTATTTTCTTTGCTCTAGGAAATGGGAAAAGATCTGGTCAATTCTTGTGAGAGAGAGACCCAGTCTTAGCCCAGGTCCGGTGAGTGTGTGGAGAGCTTCCTGCTACCCTGCGCTGGCGGGACCAGTCCCAGCCCAGGCGCAGCATGGGACGGACCATCTCCCGCCCCCTCGGGCCGCCTCCCACCCCTCCCTCCGAGTAGGAATTTTTGCCGACTTCCGGGAACCCCCAGACCCAGTGCTAGCCCAGGACCGGTGAGTGTGTGGAGAGCTTCCTGCT